CCAGGGCAGGTTTAGGCTAGACATTAGGAAAAACTTCTTCACCGAAAGGGTTGTCAGGCTCTGGAATGGGCTGCCCAGGGAGGTGGTCGAGTCCTCATCCCTGGAGGTATTTAAAAGAAGGATAGATGAGGTACTTAGGGCCATGGTTTAGTGGTGGGATGTCAGGGTTAGGTTAAAGGTTGGACTCAATTATCTCAAAGGTCTTTTCCAACCAAAGTGATTCTATGATTCTATGATGCAGCTCTCGGCGTGGGCTTGTTCCGTGTCTGAGCAAAGCCACAGTCCGCCTGGCATGGGCATCTTTTTCGGGCAGAGGGTTGGTAGCGTTTCGGGGCCGAATCTCTTTTGCTCTTCCCCCTGGCTGGCCCTCGTTTTGCCTACTCTCACCATGTAGCCAGGCCCTGCCCGGCGAGGACTTCAGCTGCCTGGGCGGGAAAGGAGAGGTAAGGAGGGGCTGGGAGCCCTCACTCTTCCTCTGTGTTGTGAGATTAGAATATAGAGACCAGTCACAGAAACATTGGCATGACACAAACATAAATGGAAACGTGCATGTGGGAGGTCATCAGCAAAAATAACTCGCCCATTAACACAAGGGCCCGCACGCTCCCATCTGTCAGGCTCAGGAGGGTGCAGCTCCCTTCTGTCTTCAAGAACTGCTCTCAGCTATGGCCACAGCACCAGTCACACAGCAGAAGACGCTGCTCCCCAACAAGGGGGTATGCACGCCGGACACCATTGCTCCTCCTGCCAGCCCGCCAGGAAGGTGAGCATAAAGGAAGACCCCAAACTGCTGACTCCCAGAGAAGAGCTAATGTCATTATCACTGGCCAGCGAGAACCCCAGAAACACATTTAGCTGGCATCCCTTGTCCTCTACATCACACAGGGTCCTGGGCAGACAACACGGGCCTGAGAGCAGACAACTGAAATCTGTGAGCAGATGTGCGTGAGGGGGTGAAAAGCAACTTAAGCAGTTGTATAAATAAATGCTTCCACAAGACCTAGCACTGAATTCTGGTACTCGGCAGGATCCACTTGTCCCACACCATTCCTTCCCTCACCTGCTTCTCCACAGACCCCAGCCCTTCATTGCTCCCTGTGCAAATAGTTCCCTGAAGCTTCACTGGGGCGAAGGAGGGACATCATCAGGGGGCACAGAGGAACAAGGAAGAGCACCGTCCAGGGATGTGCACATTCAGAGCTACAACACAGCTGTGGGTGTGTAGTAACCATTACTTCTGTACCGGGTCCACAGTCCAACAGGAAAAACAAAGCATTGAAGCAGACATGGACTACTGCTGGCACTGAATTCACCTTCAGCTAACTATTGAGCTAACACACATCATTTGAGCCTTTAAATTTGGAATCCACCTCATTTCCAAATAAAATGGAAAATCATGTGTTTTTCTGAGCATTTCATGATTAAAAAACCTAAGCAATACCAGCAATTCTGGTAGATATGAGACACCACATAAACAAGTGGAAGAACAGAAGCCTGAAGCATGCATTCATTTTTAGTATTTATTTTTCCTATCACAGGAAATTACTGATTCACGTAGCTTAAAAACACATTAAAAACCCCAGCAGCCTTCATATGGGTACCAAGAGAGAAACATGGGGTGAAAGAGGAAAGGAGGAAAATCTGCTTCTGGCCTTTGCTGGGTTCAGCACTAAACCCCCAAAAGCAAGGACAATCCATCGTTTGTGAAAAATGCCTGACTTCCCCTGTTGCCTGTTCTATAAATAGATCCCTGTTTAAAAAGTGCCTGTCAATGGGAAGCCAAGCAGCAGTTGCACCACAGTGAGTGCTCATTGCAGCTGCGGAAGCCTGACTCGGATCCAGATCACTCAAGTCTACTTTAAATAAAAGAAAACCACCACCCCCCCCCCATTAAACTCCCCTCGGTAAACAGAGCTGGAAAGCTTGAAAAAAAATTAAACAGGATTGCAGGCAAGAACACGGTCTTCTGTTTTCTGATTAAAAAATACATGCCGCCATGTCAAACCCCTTCAGGAATTACCCTCTGCCGAGTTCCACACCCCCCGTATGCCTGAAGCGTGGATACTGCAGCCCCCAGCCTTGCCATCGGTGACACTGTCTCGGTGTCCTGCAGCTGTGGTGACAACACCCAGGATGTGTAGGGACAAAGACAAGACATGTATTTTCCTTAAGAACAAGAAACACAGACACACAGAAATCACAGTAGCACCTTTATTATAAAAATGCTTAGGTGTCTAAAAGTTTCTGGAGTACTACAGGACCTCCCTTAGTTTCAGGTACTTTCTTCATTTTGTAATGCATACGAGAATTACTTTGCTACATACAGGACTGATTTTTTTTAAGTTCTCTCAAGATTCTTCCTATGTTCCAGTTTAAAATGCAAGGAGTCGTAGAAAAAACCCCAACAGACAAGGCACTCCGCATTCTAACTCAGCTTCTCCTTGAAAACAACCTCAAGCCGTATGTCAGCAGCTCAGTGTACACAAGATAAAAGCACAAGGGAACCGAAGTTTCAAAAGAGAAAACACTTTAGGAAGAGCAAAAGAAATATCCTTTCCTTATAGCACAGTACAATTTAAAATGGTCATGTGTCTGACTCGAGCAATACTCACAAAGGCACAACACAATTTGTTCTCAGATATAAAACTTGGCTGGCAGGAATGGAATGACCCATATAAACACTGTGCAAAACAAAAATATACAGAATTGAGTGTCAAGGACAAATGCTTAATTTATACTAAAAATGGGAGTTCCTGGCTGCACATGCAACATGAGGTGATCGGAACGGCCATTGGCTGGTCTGCACGTGCAACAGGCTCATTGCTTGGGTGCACGCAGATACACTTTGTACCTGAAAACTCTGCCACTGACACTCAGATGCTTTCTTTGGAAAATGTGACCCTACTTACACACTGCTTTACTCTCAAAGCCATTTTTATACCTCCCCAACATTCTGAACACAGCTTCATGTCAGGAATTACAGAAAGCCACCCAAGTTATTGAAAAGATTTATGCTTAATAATTTGCATCAAATGATCAAATTATAAATAGCATCAGCAATTCCTCAGCAGAAGCAGATGCATGAAGTCACAACATTCCAGACAAGGCTGCTTCCTCACCACCTTCCTTAGTGCTCGGTTCAGGGGAGAGGTGCAGAGTGCTCCTCAAGCCAAGGCCACCCAGCAGTGCCCCTGAAGCATCCTCACAAAGGGTGAAAAGCCTTCACTGTGCTCAGCACAGGTTCCGTAGCGGGGAGGTGCCCACCCGGCGCAAGCTTGCCGGGGCAGCATCCAGGCTGATCAGGAACAAACAGTTGTGGATCACTACCGCTCCGGGGTCTCTCGGCCAGGGCCGAGTTCACATGCTACATACGTTCTGGCAGTTAGCATCCTTAATTAGCTGACACTTATCTTCACATTATGGTTGGTAGCATATTTAAAAGGAAGGCATCTAAAGAATTATGTCCTAAGTGAAAGAGTGCTAGAAAACTGCCTGGCCAGAAACCGTAGAAGCAGAGGCTGGTGTTTTACTGTGTACACTGGTTATGCTGGGATTGAGTCTTCTTCTGGTTTTAGTTAAGCATTAAATTCTACCATCAGAATTTGTTCCTCTTATTACTTTCAGGTGCTTTAAGAGAGTCCCCTTTGAGGAACATGGTATACGTTAAACAGAAAAATGAAAAGTAAAATAAATGTTTGTTATAGACAGGAGGAGCAGAGTGCTGTTGTGAAAATACATCTCATCACCTTTTTCTGTTTTTTAATTAAAAATACAGGTCACTACAGCTGTAAAGAGTCATTGGTCTAAACTGCATATTCACTTATGTTTTCTTGCAACAGCACCAGCAAGCCCGGACATGCAGATAGGTCTGCACCACTTTGGAGTCCAACCCTCAAAGGACACTCATGCCCAGCGGCATCCCTGCTTGCAGCAGACTCCTCTGTATGAGGTGGTCAGAGGACACAACTGCTTAATTGGATCTTCTAACCACCACAGGATGAGGGAAAAAGACAGATCAATCTGACTCTTCAGCTGTGCACACAATTTAAAAACAAACCCAAAAAAACCCCAAACAACCCCACCAGGACAAACCTAACAAGGCACTGTAGAGATTTGATCTTCTTGAACGCAAAGCTGATTTATTAGGCCCTGACAGCTCTTTTATATATTTGTATGCACAGCAAGTAGGAAATACAAAATCTGTTTGGTACATCCAAGTTACAAAACAGACTGAGGTAAGAGGCATAGCCTTCGAAGCTACTAATCAGAACTGGTGAACACACATGTGTGTGTAAACACAACTGCTGCAAGGACTTGGCATCAATCTGACACGGCAAAGCAATTTCTTTTTTTTTTTTGTAACGCACTTCATGCTGACATTTGAGCAATGTCAGTTCTTGTATCTGGTATCTGATATCTGATTTGAGGCTGCGTCTCCCCTTTGTTTTCATCGAGCACAAAGGGCGAAGGGAAGTCTTTGTTCTTCATGTACGCCTCCAGACCCTGGGAACATGCGAAAACAGCACTGTTAGGTTGTGAAGGCATCAGACTGGTGACCTGCACTACTGTGAAGTCTATGAAATGTCCTCGGAGAATGAATGATGACCCAAAGTTAAAAGGCCACAGGAAGGACAGACAACAGCAACAGTTTCCCCAGTGACAGAGATGGAAAGCACTTCAGCCCCAAGCCTGGGGCTCATGAAGGAGCGGCACTGATGAACCGTAAAACAACGGATCTCAGAAACAATCTTCCTAGGGAGGGGCAGGCACGGGAAGGTGTGTCCTTAACTCACATTAGAATAATCCTAGCAAAGAAGTAAATTTGAATGGCCTTGTTTTGATTTTGTTCTTACAATGCATTAATTGCGATGAGTTCACTACCTGCATGCTGAAACCTAGCGAAGATGTAAAGGTTTATGAATGCCCTTCCCCGCAGCGCCCATGTGTCCCCTGCAATCCACTATTTCTCACCCTGTCTGTCCAACACCGGGAAGCTCCTCCTCTGACTGCTGAATGGAAGCAGCTTTCCCAGGACCAGTTATGTTCAGAGGGACAAACTTGAGTAATCTGTTCTAAGACGTGGTTTCTCTAAAGCCAATGCACACATCACACTTCTCATTCAGTGTTCACTCACTGGGGTAGACGGACACAAATTATCATGCAACCAAATACACCTACCCCCATGGATTTTGTCATTTGAATATCCTGCACTTTTCATTTGGAAGATCTCAAAGGACTTGTGAGTCTTAACGAGACTGTGCAGTCTCGTTGCAAATCTCATTTTACAGAGAGCTAAGCCTGAGTGTGAACAAACGGCTGAGAAGTAAACCATAGTAGAACCACAAACATAACACGGAGCCCAAGCCCTATTTCCCTTGATCTTACCATTTCTCAGCAAGCCCAGGCTAAAGAACTCCCTTATATTTGGAAGGAAATCAGATGCATACCTGCACACTCTTAAAAATACCTCCATAGACAGTTATCCTCACCTCTCCAAAGTAAGACACTAACGGAGAAATCTCACACACAGCAGGAGGATCTTCAGTTCCTGAGAGACTAGAGAAGAGAACACAGGATTAGCTTCTTGCTCTGCTTAAAAATCAGTGCATCTTCTTCGAAAAATCATCAGGGACAAGACGTCTGGAAGGGTATTTGTTATATTCACATGCACCAGACGTTACTGGAACACAAAGAGTGAAAATAAAAGGGAATTAGCAGGTCCCATATATTCAAAACAAGAACACCACTCTTACAGAGGTGCTTTTCAAGGAAAATGAACAGCTTGCGGGTTTATCAAACGATGAGCTTATGAAGCGATAGCCCCACGGAGTAAAAGCAGCTTCCCACTCACCACGACGCGGGAAGCGTCTGAACTGGTGATTGCTGTCATAGCTGATCCCTAAGCCCACCTGAGAATCTTGCTGGGCTTTAAACACTGGGGCCATATTCAGAAAAGCTTGCGAGGACTACAAATGAGAATTCCTTAGGCTGGCTAAATCCAGAATGATGGAAAAGGTTGCCCTGCCTAACAAGTCGCTACAGGAGGAGTCAACTTGCGACCCCAAGGGCGGGAGTCTCTGCCAGAGATAAAGCCCAGAGCACCATGTGTTACTGTCTAGACCACTCGCAATCACTAACGGAGCAGACACTGTAACAGACGTTACCCTGTGTGTTCGGAAAAGACCAGCTGAAGGAAAATCATGCCAAGTCACCCTGTGATCGAACTAACACCTGGTTCTGTAGGGTACAGCTGGCTGGCATGGCTGGGCAGCCGCAGGCAGAAAAACTGCAGAGGGCACGGAGGTTCATACCTGAGTTTCTCTGGTATCCTGCAACCATTTTCATCCAGAAATCTGGCCCCAGCCTTGAGAGCCCAGCGGTAATGCTGGGCCAGGAGGGCCTGCCGAGCGGTGGTAGGAGTGTCTTTGTCAGCTGTGTCTGCATTTTTCAGTGGCGAGAACTCCTCTTCTCTCAAAACTTCAAATGCCACAAAATTCCTACCAGCAAAGGGGAGAAAACAACATAATGAAACCCAAAGCTAGCCATCATCCTTGTTGACGCAACAACTTCCACGGGGAAAGGGAGCAGCGATGTATGCAACCTGGGGCAGTGAAGATAAGGAAAGCCACCTCCCACCTGAAGAGCGAAGAAATACCAGGGCTGTATGATGGAAAAACACAAGAAGCCCAGTCTTTTTGGGAACGTAAGAGAGCAGCCTCACGACCCTCGAGAGCTGTGCACAGTTTGAGAGGAAGAGCAACAGTTCCGCAAAGATCCCACAGGAACCTCTCCAGGCACCAGGAGGATCATGGACAAAAAGTCTCGGCTAAGAGCAGGCCAGGATGACGAGAGCAGTGACGCCTGCAGCTCAGAGACAGCGCTGAGCCGTACAGCTCACTCCAGAGCACTGCACCCCTGCTCCATGGAACGGCCGCTCCACTTGGGAGCCTGTAGGCAAGGATCAGCTGAGGACACCAGTTCCCAGGGATGAATAAGCAAGATGAGAGGATTCACAGCTGAACATTAAGCACAGCTGTTTACCAGAGATGGGAATGCAAATTAAAAAATCCCACAGCAACATCTGTTCATTTCTGCATTTCCCGTGTAAAGAGCAGCTGCCAAGCTGGCTTTGCGGATTATTAAAAAAGCACAAGGCATCGCTGCTTGCAAACGAGCCCTTTCGAAGCTCAAACTCAGCACTGTTTCCATCGCACCAGTTTTGCCTTTGGTGTGACGCTTCTTTATCGAATGCATGTCAGGAAACAGAGACCAGCTCACACCTTGAGCTCTCTATCCTAAAGTAAATCCTCTAAAAAGGAAAACATTATCCCCAAACAAAGATAATTCAGTTTGCCCAAGGTCTCTTTTTGCCGTTTATTTAAGCCTAAACCAGAACCTTTACTGCTGAATTTGAGACCTTGGAAAATAGCTTTTATAAGAACACTCATGCTAAATTCCTAAATTACTCAAATCCCATGTTCCCTTAACACAAAGCACCCCTGACTGTGCCAACACTTCGGCACAGGGCTCTCAGGCAAGTCAACACCGACAGTTCTCACAGTAACAGTAACTTGGCCCCACAGTGCATGTTTTCCGAGCACAAGGGTGTGAGCTGAACCCTGGCGTAACACGCACCAAAAACGTAACCAGAGCTGCAGTTGCCATGAAAGCCACAATCCTGAAAGACCCAATTTTTGTGAGTCTGAATACTCCAACATGGGCTTATATTAAAGGAAATCGAGCACAAAGCCAACATTTTTTTTTTTTTCCCCCCTTTCTTTCACAGGGCTGGCAGAGGCTGGGGCAGCCAACACATCCTCAGCAGAACGAACAGTTCTGGGAGCATGGTCAGAGCAAGCCTGGCTGCTGCCAAGCACCCTGTGACTGCACCCCTGGGAGCCTGTGGCATTACTGTTGTGTTGGAGCTTGGTGCAGATCCAACAGCCTTTCTAACAAGCCACCCACGAACCGCACACTCCCTGGCAAGGCCCGTTACAACCTACAGGCATTCAAACAAACATTGAGAAGGGGAAGAAAAAAATAAAATCATGTCTGCCACTAACTTAGAGAACTGGAACACATCAAACACAAACTTCTCCAGCTTTATCCCGTTCGGTTTTAGCGGTTTTACCAGATTTCCCTCCTCGTCAATGTAGGGCACCTTCTTTATGGCTACGTGATGCCTCAGCTGCGGCTCATATTTTCTGCAAAAGGAGAAGAAACAAGTTCATTTACTTCATGCCCACTTAGAAAAAAAGTAGTACACTTCTGGGAAGCAGACGGTTTATTACTGCTCTGGTTCATCTCTCAACTGTTGTGGGCGTTGCTCTCTCCAAATTGATCCAAGTCACATCCAGGGAAGACTTCACCAAGCTGGGCAGCCCGGCCAGCAGCACTCCCTGTACCAGTGGGACATGACAGGGTAAAGCGAGAGGAGAGGGAGGACCTAGGATCGAGCTGAAATTGCAGGCAGAGATAAAACACGGTAACCAAACTGCTCTGTGACCAGGATGGCAATGGAGCGGAGCCGATCCCTCACACACAGGTGGATCAGGGAGGTCGTACGGCCGCTCATTGAACACCCAGCATCACAGCCCCCACTCCCAACACCGAGGTGCAGAGTCCTTCCCCAGCTTCCCCCTCTCCCCCAACCTCTGTCATCCCAGGGGATGGCATGGATGAGGCTGCCACTGAAAATCCCCAGTGTGGGGCTGCACCACCGATCACACTGCAGCCCATGTGGCTGCTCACCCTTGCGGGCCCAGGAAGGTCAGGCACTGGTGTATCCTGGTCAATTCAGCTACAGCAAAGCATGCACCCATTCATTGGGAAAGGCCTGAAGAGCACGCTGGGGCTGTCGGAAAGGGGACAGAGCTGTTTTGAACAGTCTGGAGAAGAGAGGAGGTGAAGAGCAGAGCAGGAGGTACCTATAACAGAAATTATGGAGTGGGAAATGGGAACACCCCCTCTCAGAGGCACCTCTGGGCTGCACAGCTCCCTAGCAGGCCTGCTGGAACTTACTGGGCCACTGTCTCCAGGAAGTCAATGGTGAAGAAATGGTTGCAGATATTGCCAGTGCTGTACATCAGTCCCCCATCAGGCCTCTGCTGCTGAGCCGTCTCCGGGCTGATCTCGCTGTACTCCACCACCTGGTAGACGCCATCCACAGAGCACACCACCCCGACAGGCTCTGTGGGGTAGGCCTTCTCCACCACCTGCAGCCATGGGACAGAGTGCTGTGACAAGGAGGAAGATCACAGCACTACTCCAACCCCCTCGTACAAACACTCCTACGGGCTGTTGCACACTGATCTCCAGCACCTCAGGAGCACGGGCAGGGCAGTGCCAGGTGTACGAAGTGGCCTGGAGGCACATTTTGCCCAACTGGGCATAAAATCCAGTACTTTGACCACGTAATTCCATGGTTGCTCAGAAGACAAACCAGTTAAATCGACATCCTGTGGAGTACTTTCCTTATCAAGGACTGGGACCTGCCATTACATGAGAAGTGTTGCAGCTATTAGCGTTCAGCTTCCTCTTTGCATGAACAACGTTAATGATTAAATAACATAAATCTGTCCTCAGGCACCTGCTGCTTGAGGGTGACAAAACCAGGCTGGTGTGGCTTTCCCCACCTTCCAGAGTGGGGCATGAGGAACGCCTCCATTAGACTAAGGTACGTTTATAAAACACAACCTATTCCAATACGGCTTCTAGCTAGCCCAAGTGCCTTTGCAGAAAGGGCAAGGCACAAAGGGGAAGCAATTCCAGTCTATGGTTTCCTGTGCAGCTACAGTCCCTGCTCTAATCGCAGTTTGCTTCCCACAGTACTCTGGGAAGAGGGCAGCACACCCACAGGTAGGGATTCTGGATGCAACACAGGCAGCAAGCAGCTCCTCTAAACCTGCTTGGAGCAAGCCACCGTTGGACAGAGGTCTGAACACCCGGGTTCATCCACGCTCACCCTAGCCAGCAGCTTCCAAGCGTAACCAGACCTTAACTCCCTGCAGGAAAATGGCCCAGTGCTAGCACGGCCTCACCTTTGCACCGCAATCTGCCCCTTTGGAAACACAGAAGCCTATGAAGACTGGATCTGCCATTTTCACGAGGATGTTGTCCACACAATATACATGGACGTACTGAATTCCACGCTGCTTCATGTCATCCAAGATCTTATTATCCATCAAAGCACGGTATAAGCCACCATTGCCATCTATAACGCAAGAGAAAAGAGAAAGCCCTGGTTAGTTGGTGACTGCAGTTCTTTTATGGCTAACGGAACAAAAGCTGAAAGTCCTGAACAAAGTTCCTTTAACAGCAGAGCAGGGAATGCTTTCTAGCCAAGAGCCAGGGCTGCTGGATTTTACTTCCAGCTCTGCCACACGGTTCGGGCAAGGCCTGTTCCCCCTCCGCACCCCAGCTCCCTCCCTGCAGACCATGGGGACCAGCCTCCCAGAGAAGAGTTACGAGACTTTATGAAGCCTTGTGAGATCCTCAGATGGAAACTAAAGAGCAAAACATTGTGCAGAGGGTGGGAACAGCCCGTTACATTTCTTCTCTTCAGTGCAGAGCAAAAGCATATTTAAAACTCAGCCTGGAGAAAAAGACTAAAATAAATCTTATTCTCTGTTTATCTTCCCCCCCACAACTTCCCAATGCCTTTGTAAAGGCTTGAACAGCAGCTGCACAGAAGACACCTGCATGTTTGTTCATCACACATCACCCTTTCACGGTTCCTCCTCTAACACTCTTTGTCAGCTCAGGAAAACCACTCTGCAGCCACAAAACCGCAACATGGCCCCGACCAGGCTGCCTCCACCGAGTCCCTTACCAGGTCTAGGCTAAGAGGAGAACTTTACTAGGTGAGAAATTGCAATAATTTTGGAAAGTGTTCATCATCTTGCTGCTTTTTTACCCATTTCCAGCCATCGGCCTTGAACAGGAGCCCGGCTCCCGACAGCTTCACCCCTGGGAAGCAGGGACCCAGGGTACAGCCCTGCCGATGCACATGGCTCCTAACCTGCAGCTGCCCCACTCCTAACTCTGCCGATACTCCCAGGCTTTGATAAAAACCACGAGCTGAGGGCAAATCTCCAGAAGAACTGAACAGAGATTCACTCTACTCTGCTACACTCCTGATTACCAACCTGAAATATTTAACTGAACCCTCTCACACTTATCAGAGGCATTAACATTGACCTCTAAAGACTGCTCAGTGTGCCAAGGCTGGCTGATGGCTGGTAGCAATTATCAACACGTATGCCATTGCTGTACCATGTAAGGGTGAACAGCAGGGTACCTGGAGCCATGGCGATTTTCCCCTTCTCCTCCAAGATGGCCTTCCCATCAAAGGTGACAGCGGGCAGCATCCTCTGTTCAAACATGACCACGTTGGATCTATCCAGGTGGAAGTAGTTGTGTTCTGCAAAGAACTCCTCTGTCGGCCCCAGCGTGAACTCACTTGTCATGATGTACCTGGACAGGAACGGGTGCTGAGCAATGAGCAAGAAAAGCACAAGTGAAAGACAAAACTACAAATGGAACACAAAAGGGAGGAAACCCAAGAGCGTTAAATGAGAGACGCTGCAGTGTCCTGTGGCGTGCGCTCTTCCCAGAGCTGCTCAAACCAGGCAGTGATTTCAGGAAGGCATCTCCTCGTAGTCTAACAAAGAACACTGAGCAGAAAACATTCCCAGACGCATGTGGCAGCGCCTTCCCCTCTCCCACCCACCGCACCCCATAGGGAATACGTATTTTGCACCTTGCACAGAGCCAGTCTCTTCTGAAGCCTGGAGGCTTTTGAAAAGTAGGAGCCACCAGGAGAGACGGCAGCCAGCTGTAAACAACAATAGCAGGACAGGGCCTGGAAATGGAGCATGACAAGCATTTACTGCTGCGAGGGGAAGAGTGGAAGAAATTGCAGGCAAGGGGAGGCAGAGGGTCTGGGCAAGTGAGCTCTGGGCCATCTCTCTCCCCAAGCAGAAACAGAAGGCACAGCACAAACGGATGAAATCTCTTGTGACACATCTGAAACAGGCACTGAAAAGCGCTGTTTATAGTGTTGTGCTGTAGTTTAAGCCCAACTGGCAACTAAACACCATGCAGCCACTCACTCATTCTCTGCCCCCAGCAGGATGGGGGAGAGAATCGGGGTGAAAAAAAAAAAAAAGTAACATCCACAGGTTGAGATAAAGACAGTTTAATAAACCAGCAGAGGATAATAAATAATAATAATAATAATATGTACAAACCAAGTGATGCACAGTGCAATTGATCACCACCCCACTGACCAATGCCCAGTCCATCCCCAAGCAGCAATCTCTCCCCCCAGCCAACTCCCCCCAGTTTCTATACTGGGCATGAGGCCCTATGGTCTGGAATAGCCCTGGGGCCAGTTGGGGTCGGCTGTCCTGGCCATGCCCCCTCCCAGCTCCTTGTGCCCCTGGCAGAGCAGGGGAAGCTGAAAAATCCTTGCCTGGTGTAAGCCCTGCTCAGCACCTACTGAACCATCAGGGGGTTACCAACATTCTGCTCATCCTGAATCCAAACCACAGCACTGTGCCAGCTGCTGGGAAGAAAATTAACTCCATCCCAGCCAGAACCAGAACAATAGTGCTGTCAGGGACCGTGCTTGAAAAGACAGTTACTTAGCAGTTAGGTTAGTGGTCAGCGATTCAAGGGCAGCGCTCGGTCCCTCAGGTCTCCAGACATGGACCTGGCACTTCCCATCCCTGCGCAGCCTCCTCCAGCTGCTGGCATCGAAGATCCTGCTGATGGAAGGCTCCCTCCTGACACGCCTCTGTAAGGCACCCAGCAAAGGGCAAAGATGACAACGTAGGCAAGACTGCAACACAAAGCCCCCACACAGGAGGGCTGTGGCTCCAGGTCACCTACCAGGGGACGGCACACTTGCAGTGGTGTCTCTGGCCAGCGAGCTGCTCCACTTTGCGGATTCTTTCTGCTTGGATCTGATACAAGGTCTTGCCACTGGGCAACCCCACGTTGTACATGCCCTTGGGATAGCTCACTCCCAGGCGAGTCCCTTGTCCTCCAGCCAGAAGCAGCACTGCCACCTTGTTCTGCGAGATCTGATGCAAACCTGAATGGGAGAAAGAAGCCCAAGGGAACGTAAGAATCACAAAAGCAATCAACACCCTGTGCTCTTCTCCTGAGCCTTTCTGCAGAGCTCAGGCAGCAGCCAGGAGCCGCCACTTCAATGCCCACTGCAGGCAGTTCAGCGAGAAATATGACACTGCACACAACACTCAGAAATTCATTTCACCTCTCTGACACAGCAGTTTCCTCACCTAAAGCAGCTGATGGTGTAACAACAGCCGTGAGTTGCAGCTTAGGAGGTTCAAAATGGACATTAGGATAAAAATGCTGTAGTAGGAAGGTGGTGCAGCACTGGAAAAGATATCCAGAGAGGTGGGGGATGCTCTTCCCTTGTAGTTCTCAAGGCTTACTTAGATAAAGCCATGGCTGACCTGACCTAGGGCTGGGTATGGTCCCGTTCCAAATAGGGGTTGGACTCCAGAGGTCCCTTACCACCACCATTTCTATATCCCAAAGAAGCGAAGTCTTGTCATCTCCAGCAAAGCACAGGCATTTCTGGAATCTGCCTCAATCAACTGTCCGTACTTGTGCTCCAGCTTCTGATCGGCTGCAGTCAGGACTGCCAGGCCTTGCGGAAGCCACAACTCCTGCAATCTGATTAAAACCAGTATCATTTCTCCCGACAAATCGGGAAAGTCCAGAACCCAGGGAAGAACCAGACCACATAATGAACACCCAGCTCATTCACAGCCTTTGTTCCCTGCCTTGTCTCAAGCCAGTATTACAGTAACAACTGACAACTCTAACAACCGACTGACAACCGTGAGAAAGAATTTTCCATAGGGAATGCTTTGCATTCCTC